GAAATATGGGACGTTTCATACTCATAGTGATGAGACGTGTTACATTTCTTGGTCGCCGTCACCCTTGATCATGCATGATAAGGTGATGGTCCTTTGAGTCTTATTTGTGCATTCACTAAGCTTGTGCAAGCTTGGTTCTTTGGCCATCATGCATTAAGATGCTTGGTTGATGGCTTGAAAGCCAAGTGCCATACTCCTTTGAGCTTGAGAAATGATAAGGAGGGTGGGAGTACACACATTCCTTGAAAAATGCATTGCTTTGCTTTTGTTGCTCTCTGTTGCAACAAAAACAGAATTTTGGAAAAAACAGGTGGCCGACTGGCCACTTGAGGTAGCCGACCGGCCATTAAACTAGCCGACCGGCCAGTTAGAGTGGCCGGCAGCAACCTTTTGTGTCCGACCGGCCACCAATGAATTTTTGTGCAAAAGTGTTCCTGTTTTGGAGCAGTGGCAGTTTGGAAGTTGGTTCAATGTTCAGAGATCAAAGCAAGTGCAAACAGAGGCAGTCGATGGCAAGGCAACGGACTTTCGGGAGGAAGCCAACCGAGTTTGCATGTCTCCCTCGCTCGCGAGGCCATTTAATTGCTTTACTAGCTAGTTGTAGCTGATTATTCAATTCAAGTGTTGTAATTACTTAATTAGCTTAGCATAGCTAGTTATTCAATTGTGTTGTAATAATTAACTTAGAATAGTTAATTAGTTTTTGATTTATAATTAGCGTAGCGTAGCATAGCTTGTTTATTCGGACCCTCCTTCGCGAGGGCGTAATGTTGTAATAAGTGTGCGTGCGTGTGTATGTCTTTCAACCCCACGTCTTTCTCCCTTTTATTTAACCGCTTTCGATGGTTAGATTACGGCACATTTCAATTAGCATACCTTATGTTTGCATGTTTGCATCATTCATTTTGTCTTGCATGCACCGAGGCTTGGCACATCATTCAAACTGCATCGTAATTTCAAATACACTTCTTTGAATACATTTTTCAAAGCATGTTATCAAAGTGTTGCAAATCATATGCCATATTAGTAGCCGAGCCTATTAATAGCATTATTGCATGTGTTGCATTAGTCATTTAACATAGTTAGGAATCATGCATTTTTCTAACTTTGTTTTCTTTCCTAGCTTGGAGTACTAGGTGAGCTTTTACGCTTTAGCATAGTTACATGAGTGTGAGTGTTACCATGTTTCGTATGCTTGCCATGAGGCTATTTTCTTATATGCTTAACTGTATGAATGCCTGTGGATGAAGGCTTTGTTGCTTGAATTGGGACAATTCAACGAATGTATGTTTTAAGCCCACTTTGCGAAGTGGCAAATCATGTTTTAAGACCATCATGTTTGATGGCAAATCCGCGCTTTAGCCCACTTGAGGGTGGCATTTTCAAACCATTTTCGAAAACAAAACATGAGTTGAATTCGTTCCAAATCTTGCGATTTAGTTTATACTTGTATGCGTGCGCGCCACATAGTAAGGTTAGATTAATAACCAGAATAAGAACACATGTGTTTATAAAAACAACATATCATGTTTAGTAGAGGCCGATCTTTGATCGGGTAAGCGGGGGTGCTCATTTCAGGACCTTCCCCTTTCGTACCCAAGTTCCCGAGCCGAGGCAACTTTGGTGATGACGGACACATGGCCTTTGGCACGAATCAGGGTTTCCTAAATTTTTCAAAACAAAATATTTAAGTGGTGACTCTGTAATTTGGCAAAGCAGTCCAGTTTTAGCATTATTTGATTCAAAAATCGATTTTCCAAAATGATTTGTCGGATTGGACTCTTTGGTGTTTATCAGTCTCACATTGCACTTTGTGTGATTAGATTCAGAACCGTGACAGGAGTCCGAACTGTGCAACCGTGCTCGTAGATTTTCTACTTAAAGCATCTGCAATAACATTCACCTTTCTCGGGTGGTAGTGTAATTCAAAATCGTAGTCCTCTATGTATTCCATCAATCTTCTCTGACGTAAATTCAAATCTTTCTGAGAAAACAGGTATTTGAGACTCTTATGATCATAAATGACATCAAATTTCTCTCCGTATAGGTAATGTCTCCAAATTTTTAAAGTAAAAATGACAACAGCTAATTCAAGATCGTGAGTAGGGTAGTTTCTCTCGTGAGTTTTCAATTGGCGAGAACCATAAGCTACAACCTTGCCCTCTTGCATCAAGACGCACCCTAACCTTTCTTTAGAAGCATCACAATAGACTGTGTACCCTCTTCCTCTCTTGGGAATAATCAAAATAGGCACGGTAGTTAATCTAGCCTTTAATTCTAGAAAAGATTTCTCACAGGCATCGTTCCATATGAATTTCACCCCCTTCCTCGTTAGTTTGATTAAAGGTGTCGCTAATGTGGAAAAGTCTTTCACAAAACGTCTATAATACCTAGCAAGCCCCAAAAAGCTGCGAATCTCAAACACATTTCTAGGTCGTTCCCATTTCTACACGGCTTCAATTTTTGATGAATCTACTATCACTCCCTCTTCCGAGACCATGTGACCAAAAAACTTCACCTTTGAGAGCCAAAATTCACATTTCTCGTATTTAGCATAAAGTTGGTGTTCTCTAAGTTGTAAGACAATGTGGAGATGTTTTTCATGCTCATCTTCAGAGGGCGAGTAAATAAGTATGTCATCTAAAAAAACTACCACGAACTTGTCAAGGAAATCTCAAAAAATCCAATTCATCAAGTCCATGAAAGCTGCAAGAGCATTGGTTAAGCCAAATGGCATTACTAGAAATTCATAGTGACTGTATAGGGTACGAAAGGCTATCTTAGGAATGTCCTCCTTCTCTCGTAACTGATGATAGCCCTGATCTTAAGTTAATCTTCGAAAAATATTGAGAACCTTTGAGTTGATCAAACAGGTCTATCTTCGAAAAACATCGAGAACCTTTAAGTTGGTTAATGCTGAAAAAACTAGGAACTACTTGAGAACTTCTTGAAGTGCCCTCGGCATTGAGCACTACTTTCTCTCAGGTAGACACCCTAAACGTAGCCTTTCTACAAGATTGTGTACTATTATTTCTTTTATTTTCTAAAGCAATGAGCCTTTTAGAAAGGATAGCTTTATAATTATTGAGTTGTTTTGTAGAAGTCGTCTTCTCACTTATTTTAGATCTCTGAATCAAAAAAAAAAAAAAGAAAAAAGAAAAAAAAAGAAGAAGATCTAAAGACATCTCTTTCATTTTCTACCAAGTTCATCTTACTTTTCTTAAGCTTGAGACACTCTTTATACATTTCAGCATAACTGTGTTGAATCGACTCTACTTCCTCCCCATTAGAGGCATTTAGCTTCTTAGAAACACCACCATTGGAGCTAGACACATGCACCACTACCTAAGTCTAGAGCTTTCTCATGTTGAGAAGTCTATCCTCTCTCTCAAATAACCATGTAGTATAGTTCTTATAGTCTTCGCCTAAGTCTAAGCTCTCCTTGAAGGCATTGACAACCTATGTGATTGTTAGTCCCTTGGCTTTGGACATTTACCTGTTGGGGCACTGGATAGAGTTTTGAAATATGTCCAAAAACATGATATCTATGATACTTACCTTTTGGATTTCCTATCTTTCCCCGATTGGGACTTCTTATCACTTTTATTTTGATTAGATTTGTAGTTGATGACAATCAGTATTTGGTAGGCCTATTGTGGTCATTGAATTCACGGGTCATTTGCGCTGGATAGTTAGGTTTTGGGTCTTTTGGTGGTAACCTGCAAACAAAACCATTTAGAACTCATCAATAGGTTCCCTTCTCAGGGGATCTCTGACAAATAAATTAGTTCTCTTGAAGATAGAGCGCAATGGAGGAATGTAAAAGATGAGAATGAGATAAGATACTTGGAATGCATATTGTGGTTGTATGTATATTCTTACTTACCAATGGGGACCACATGGCGCTCCTCTCTTGGGATGTGCAAGAGAGTACGCCTGCAAGTTCATGTGGTAGGGGAGACAAGCAAATGACACAATGCGTCATCTGTGTGACTGCATTGTGCCCATTAGGGAACGGCGCCATAGATTAGTTACATGCTTGTGGTCGTCTGACTTGGATACATGGTCTGGCTTGCTGACCGAAGGGGCCTTGGTAGACTCATGTTGGGCCTTGGCCCAGCGGCATTGACTGGATCGGCCCGTATGGGCCTATACTCATCAATAGTGATTGTTTGTTTGTAGGTTTTGAGGACGTATTCTCTTTTTAAACTTAGGCTATGCCTGGATGGAAGGGTCAAAAAGAAGGAATAAAAATCTTATAACCAGTAATAAAATTACTTGTCAATGTTATTCAAACATTTGATTTAGTTGGGAATTATCTATTGACAAATGTGACAAATTATAAAATTTTAAATGTTGGGAGGCAATCTACTTTTTACTCTTAAATGGTTTTCATTCCTCTAAAAATGTGAGACTCAAGCTGATTTGGATACAATAACAATGGGCAACCCAATTGATTTGTCCAACTCATCCGATGATTGATTAATAATTTTTCTTAAATATGTAATTTTGTAATGTTTTTATTAGATTATTGAGGTGGAGTGTGATGTAAATAATTGGTAGAATAGTAAGTGTGAACCTAATTGGGATGTACTTGATCTATAGTGATATCAATAATCTATTTGATGATATAAATTTGCAATATATTTCATTTTCAAATGAAAGTTATAAAAGTTATTATTTAAATAGAAAATTGGTGATAAATTTAAGAAAAGTATTAGGCATCAAATTTGTAATAATGCCTTGTTTGGTTTATGTTTCTCAAAAATTTTCAAAAAAAATTCTCTACAAATAAGTTTTGAAAAGTAATCAAATCAAATAAATTTTTCTAAATTTTTTTTCAAAACTTGTTTAGTTTACAAATTTTTCAAACAAATCTCTCTCTCATACATATTAAATCAATCACTTTTTTCAAAACGCTCTCCAAATAATTTTTCAAAACATTATTTGAAAAAGACCCAACCCAATAATTTTTCGTACTTTTTCGCTACTCTTTTTGTAACTCAATCAGTCGTGCATCGCGTCCCTGTTTCTTACCCATCGCTCTCTCTCTCTGTCTCTCTCTCTCTCATGCGTCCAATAATGTAGATTTTCCGCCATTTAATCGTCTGATGCATAATAAGTTCTAATTCCAATTCAGATTCAGATCAAGAGCCTCTGTTACTGGTATTGGAGCACTGAGGAGTTATAAAGAGTAACAATGTTTGGGTCAAGTAACCGTAAGTATCAGTTTGGTGTTTGTTTCCCTTCCCACGCATATTCTTGTTTGCTACTGTGGTATTTATAGAAAGTTTTTATATATGTGAATTTAATGAATTATTGGGTAAGATCTATTTCTACATGAATGTTGATATGTTTTTTACTAAAGCTTTGGGATTCCACACTATATTCATTCTTCTTTGTCCATTCTTCCCGTCTGTACAATTATTCTTTGCATATTTTTTTTATTTTCCTAAGAAAGGAGAATTTCAAGTTTTTCATTTGGGCATAAATATTATGGCAGTGTGTGTGTGTGTGTGTGTGTGTTTTTTTTTTTTTTTCAAATACAAAACTGATACCTGTATTTCCATGCTTTTCTTGTATGATTGTATTTGTTTGATTGCGCGGGGGAGTTCTATATTAGTAGTATAACTTTTTCACCCTGAATTGTGTTCATGGGCAACTTTTAGTACTTGAGGAAATTGAGTTTGCAGTTGTTTGACGATTCCCTTTGGGTTGCTTTGTGCTGTTAATTCCTGAATCCATCCATAGAACTTGAAAAATTAATTTTGAAAGATCAGAGGAGAACTATGTTTGTTCCTAGAGGAGGGTGAATGGACCAAACTTAAACAAACACAACCAATTAAAATTTAAATTGCATCTAAAGAGTAAACTGCACAAATCTCAATCACACAATGAACACAGTTTTATGTGGAAACCATTGAATAATACTATCTCATAGGTAAAACCACACAAACCGTACCAGTTGAACAATTCTCTATCGCAATAGATATTACAAGAATTAAATCGATGATTTATAATGCTAATAGAAAAATTGATGCTTTATTACCTAACCCAACCCAGTATGCACTTGGCACTTAATCTTTTACCGGGTATTTCGTTCGATCTTTGTATGGCAGGTGGCTCCTGATGTTTCTTGACTTTGGATCACACCTCATGGAAAACTTTGATCTCCAAAAAGTGGCTTCGAACAATGAAGCATGGACATGGAAACGGGACAAGACGTGGACACGCAGACGTGCAAATTTTCAAAAAATGGGGACACAACACGTTGTGGACATGTTTAATATATATAATTTTCTTTATTTATTATATTTTTAAAATTGAAAAAAAATATAAAATATAAAAAGAGGGTCTCAGTATAAAAAAAAAATAGAGAGAGAGAGAGAGGATCTGCAAGTGACGAAAAACAAAGAGGGAAAAGCATAGGGGGAGACAACGGAAACACAGAGAGAGAAAGAGAGACGATTTGTGAGAGACAGAGAGAGACGATCTACGAGAGACAGAGAGAGACAAAGTGCGACAGAGAGAGAGATGACGTTCAAAGTGATGAAAGAAGAAGAAAAACGAAGCAAAGAAGAACGAAAATGGACATACCTTGATCTAGGGCTTTGATCTTCAACATGTTCAGGTTCTTGTTCACCTTCTTTGTCTTCTCTCTCTCTTTGTTGACCAACAGGTTAGGGTTTTGTTTAGAATCGTGGTCGGAACATGTCCAAGCGTGTTCCGAACGTGTACGACTGCAAAAAATTATAACAAAAAAGAGGACACCTCTCATAGAGTGTCGGACACGTGTCCACCACGTGTTCGACACATGTCCGTGTCCGACACCCATACGCTACCTTCGGAGAGGTGCCTGTGCTTCATAGGCTTCGAACACTGTTGGCCAGAATATATGCAAGAAAAAGATGCTAGTTCAAGTGAGCGTGATTTTTCAATTACCAAATAAAGCATGATAATTGAAATCATGAACCTTTTAGATTCACCTTAAACTCCCCAAGCCTAGCAGTTCTAGAATCTTCAAATAGATAACAAACCAGCAGTCCATAGTCCATATTGTTAGTTGAATGACCCAAGATTACTCTTGAGATAAATTTCATGAGGCTCTCTTATATCACTAAGAATGTAGCACTTAGTCCTAAAGATTTAAAAATACTTGACATCAGGTTTCTTGCCAAGCTACAGTCCATGTTGGCCTATTAGAGGTTCCATGTAAGGTACACCCCCTATATGAGGTATAACGAGCAATGTTAATTGCTTCAACCCACAAATTCCTAGGTATATTCTTGGCATTAAGCATGACATAGGTCGTCTCCCCTAGATAACTTATTGTTCCCCGCTACAACACCATTTTGTGTGGTATGTGGTGTGGAAAACTCGTGGTTGATCCCTCTTTCTATATACTAGTCAAAATTCTTGAATTCTTTCTAGGGATGTAAAATGGCATGAAGGATTTTTGCATGCAGGGTGTTTGTTTGGTGGGATAGAGCCATGGGATTGGACTCCATGTCCAATAGAATAATTAGTCCAACGTTTGGTTAGAAAAGTAGAAGTCAGACTAATAGTCCCTCATATGTGGAATAACTCAATCCTAGGGGGGTTGTGGGATAGAAATGGCCGGATTGAGTCAACCTCTGGATTAGCTAGTCAAATAACAAAATTGACCTTGAAGTATATAACATTTCTTTCTTTCATTTTTTTAAACATGTTGGATTTTTTTTAAACATGTATAAATTAATCTTGTAATATATAGTAGTCTTCTCTCTTTCTTTTTTTTTTTAATTTTTTTAATCTTTTTTGTATTAGCAAAAAAAGAAAAAAAAGAAATATACTTCCAATTTAAATATATAAAACATCTATTTTCTTTATTTTCTTGAACTTTTTTATTCATTTATTATAAATATGTTGGATTTTTTTAAAGATGTGTAAATTAATCTCATGATATATAAGTCTTCTCTTAATTTTTTTTTTCTTTTTTGTATTAGGAAAATCATAGATGGAAATATTCATATTTAAATAAAATTGTAAGTCTTAGTAAAATAAAATAAAATAAAATATACTTCAAATTTAGCATTGCCATTGAATTCTAAAGGACATGATGGTCTTTTAAGAAGTTATCCTTCAGAATTTCCTAATCAAACATGAGATTCATTAAAATAGCTATTTCCAATCATGTAATTCTATGACAAAACAAACATGGGATACACACCATTTTCATCTAAATAGTCAAGAGACTATTTATTCTAGGACTAACAATCCGTTGGGTTGCAATCCCTTTTATCTGGTCCGTCCAAACAAACATGGCCCGAGGCCCTTGCCCAACCAATGGCCCTTGGGCTTAGCTCAATCTCAAGCTCGATCTTAGGTAGGGCTTTTGTCGAGCTCTCAAGGTTGTTAATTTTTTTCTTGAAATGGACCCTCCTAGTTAGAAGTAGTTTAGGCATGGAGCCCATAGGCCTTTGGCCAAATTTATATGTCTACTATTTCCCATGATCACTCCTAACCCTAGAGATAGAAAGAGCAACCCTTCTCATTTTGAACTCTATGAAAAATGTTCTTAAAGCAAGCGTATGCACTAGACCTATCTCTAAGGAATCGTACCACAATTAGGGTATAGCACTTCCCATTGAGACTCTTTGTACGTGTTATTCTTCTAAAAGATTCATATAAATCAGCTCTAAAGGTCAGATGGCAGTAAAATTCTTGTTTTTTTGTGTGTCAATTCCTAAGTTGTTTTTCCTTTTGACATGGACTACACACAAGGCCATTGTTATTACCTATTTTTGGGACACCTTTCATTAATTCTTACCTATTATTTTCACTAGGTCTTTAAAGTTCACATGTCCTAACCTTTGATGCCACAATTCTATCTTATCTAACTTAACCCTATTGCATACAACAGAAATACTAGGCATGACACATTCCATCACACATTTACCATAAGTTTAAAAAATATGATATTTTTTTTGTGTGAAATGAACATGGTGATTGTTCTCCCAAATTTGGCTATTACTTAAAAGATTAAATTTCAAACACTGAACATATAATACATTCTCTAGTCTAGGAAGACTACATGGAATGGTTGTGCCTTTTCCTAAAATTATAGACTTAATGCCATCCCTAAAGGTCACAGTTACACTATCACTTTCTTGGAAGAAGCCAGATGATGACTTATGTTTTGTCATGCATGCAGAATAATCACTAAGAACTAGATGCTAGAGTCGTGTAGTAAGCGTAGTTGTCAAATCAGAATTCAAATTGTGAATTGAAATGGCCTTGTACCAAATCACTAATCGAATTGAATTGTGAATTGTAAAGATTCTGCCACTTTTTCTAACTTAAAAAATATATCTACACACTAGATGTTAAATATTTCTTATAAAAATGAATATTTAGACTTAAATCAATGAAAATGTCCTTGGGTGGCGCTAATGCCACAAATTGAAAAGCAAGTTCCATGCATATTTTATTGCATTGACACAATTTTCCTTGTAATACTATACTATATGTGACCACACACTTTTTCTTTTGCTTTTTCTTTCTCTATGATTTTGGTTCCACTTTCATTTTCACTCCACATACCCATCTCTCTCTCTCTCTCTCTCCAATTTTTGATTTCACCCAATTTCTTTGCTTTTCTCTCTCCCTCTCTCTCTCTCCTGTCCACACCACCATCCACCATGCTGATAGCCTATATTAATGTCGTCGACCACCCACCCACCCACATCCAAATTGCTTTTGTTTTTGCACCAAAAATAAAGATTGGGTTTGTTTGAATATTCATAAACATCAAATGACAATAGGTTGTGGGTGGGGGACGATCACAATGAAGAAAATCCATTTGCATCATCAGCATTATTATCACTGTCAATTCAATTTTAATCTCCATCCATTGACCACAATAAAACAATATGCCTCTTGCCAGCCTTTCTGCGATGTGGTTTCTATAGAGGATAGAAACAGGAAAAGGCTTGATTGTGGAAGAAAATATAGAAAAATTGAAGGGGGAAGAGAGGTGAAAACATTTCGGTGGAAAAAAGAGAGGTGTGCAAGTGTTGGTGGAAAATCAATTTGGCTTGTAGTAAGAGAAATCAGTTCAGAAAGAAAAGCGTGAGTCGACATAATTTTGAAGTAAAAGAAGAAAGAAATAGAAGAGAATATGCGAGTAAGAGTTGGGGTTGCCAAAGATGATGAACATGTTAAGTTGATCAGAGAAGGT